GTCTGGTCCGTCTAGAATTTGTGGTTTTTCTTCCGAGCACGCGTGTGCAGTTAGGTTTGACGAGAGTTGTAGAATGTGATTATGAGCATTAGAACTATATTTTTTAGAATTATCTAAATAACTACCTTTTATATAGGTATGTTAAATATAAGTAAATATAAGCCTCATCTAAAAATGCTTCGTAATCTAAAATTACTGATAAGCATTGCAAACGACCACACGCTGGGAGGTATTTGTAGCGCTTCGTTGATGGTAGAAAAAGTCAATACTGATTGGTATGTTGAGGCTTACATTTCGTCAGAACAGTCACAATTGAACATAGGAAGCTCAACATTTGTAAAACGCATCATCTGCAAACATGTAAAATTCGTCATATTATCAAACCAAGCAAACCAATGTTGTATATATACATTAATATTAAAAGTAATACCATAATATCGCCTACGTAGTAGTAGTCCTACGCCAATATATTACACACCCGCTATTAGGTAGGATACTCGTAACGCTGCCCTGCGTCGTTTCTAGTACTGTGGTGTGTCACGAAGACATGGTCAGTTTGTGTCCCAATGACGATCTTTCCAATTTTATATCGACTATTATTTCTTGCTTTGATGAGAAATTCGAGGCGTGCATTTATTAATTTAATCTTTTCATCATCGGCATATAAAATATAGTTACGATAAGAATGGTACCACATGTTGCAATATTGGGAGGGGTTAAGCCTGCACAAGACAGTTCGAAATCACAGCGTCGAAATATCTATGGTGTGATATTTGTGACGTTTTCACCACATATTACTAATTCCGGTCTAAATTCGGATTCCGCAAAGATCATTTTATTTGATAAAAATGTAAGTAGGAATTCGTTAGGTCGTTTCAATTTTAGGTCTCCAATTTCACAATGCAACGTTATTCTAAAAATAATTTTGCTCTTCGTGGGGTTTGTTGATGTCTCGTGAATCGAACGTGATGTTATCTGAACGTGTGTTTATACTGGCGCACCAGTTATGCAGCGTGGTTACGCAGCGTCTATACTTAGTTATGATGTTTAATTAAGTATCGTATGGAAGTATCTCTCACGAAATAGTACGAACGTACGTAATGAGTATCATAAACCATATATGCTAAACAATAAATATGCCTTATACGATTCTAAAAACTGGGGGGAAATCTGAATAGTCGATCTTTGATATTGCTAGTCCATCCACCATATCATTTTATTTTAATTCAAGCTACGAATTGAAATCAAATCCACAAAATGCAGAGTGCTATTTATCAAAATGACTCTTCGAGATACACAGGATGGACCCAAAAAGCAGAACCCATAAATTTCCTAATGACGTCTTCGTAAATGAAGAAAATTTGGTAATACTGGAACTTCTGTTTGTGTATAATTGTATGTTTCAGTAATCTAGGACGCCCTGTACAAAAGTTATGTTCTATATTCCAACCTGGGCTCAGTTTTATGAGTCCCATGTGTATAGAAACGGGGTGAAAAAAACAATCATTGTGATTTAACTAAATTTTATAGCGTAAATCCTGCATACTCATTTTACATCTCGGTTATTTAATTTATCTATCATGAGTTTTTGTATACATGAAAATACACAGAGAATACTAGGCGTTTATATTTATAGCGTATATAACAATACATAAAACACCTGACCCGCATGGTATATTTTAAAAATCTATTCATAGAATCGCATACTCCGCTCAAATTAACAATAATTTTATGCGATGTTATATGATATCACAATGTTGAAGCAAAGATACCGGTATTATTTGTATCACAGTATCTTTTAAATCTACTGATGTATGATGTATTACCATTTATCTGTGTTTATGTATTTTGCATCGCTAAAGTATTGTAGACTTCCAGCGTTTGAAAGACACTGACACGTGGTATTTGAAGCAACAAATTAGTTTAATTATTATAGGTACTTGTATTTTCATTTCTATTGTTTAATAAAATCAATTTTCTTGGAAAGCGCAATTTATTATACCGTTGATGAAAAAAAAAATATTAGAACGCACCTCAAAAATTGTTTTAAAATCTATTAATTTTATTTTTATGTGTTTGAATTCTGTATAAGTTGATTAATTGTATCTGATTTTTTATTACTTTTTTATACTATTATCAATTTATATAGAAAGAGATATTTTCTTTTTACAATCTGGATGAGAGTTCCAACGACAGACAAATGAAATTGTTTTTACAAAATTAGTGTTATTGTTCCTGTGCAATATTGAACGTGATTTATTACGTTGTTTTCATATAATAATGCAATTTCCGTGTGAATGGGAAATTACACGGATGGTATACTTTCATAAGTAAAGTGACGTCAAGCAACAGGTCATTGTCTAAATTATGACTCAAAGTTTGCGATGGGATGCTATTTGGTGGCAAGATCGTAGTTGTATAACGAGACGTAATTTTGCTTCTAACGAAGCTGGATAAAGCAGCCAGTGATATCTAACAAAATCTTAAAGAATCTCTCTACAGACTACAGACATACTTTGCTGTCGAAGTTATCCTATCTATATAACCGCACATTTTCATCTATATCGATCGCTTTATTTGGAAAATAGATTATGGATTATTGTTGAATTTTTTTTTCAGGCATCCTCACTACGCCTTTGTTTGATTGTCGCCCATAACTCCGCTCAGATATCAATCTCTCATATCTTTGAGTGAGTGCGCGTGCCTTGAGTAGGGCTGGGCATTTTCGAAACACTGGTGTTTCGAAATCGAAACGAAATTTTGCCTTCGAAACGAAACGAAACGAAACACACGTTTGTCAAAAACAATAAAACCATTATTACCAATCGAATTTAATGTATAATTGCACATATTTTCAAGAATTAAAACCACAAAAACGAAGCACTGGAGGCTAATTCGAGAGCATGAAACGGTAATGATAATTCAATGAAGGTTTCTGCTAATGACAAAGCAGTGACCAAATTGCATCAGAATATTCATTACGAATTACGTCATTGTTAGAGATAGGGCTCACAAGCAGCATAGATAGCATGGGGCCTCTCAACGTATCAATGCGACCCTGCGCTCATCTTATGTAATAATTGGGATCATTTTTTATATTATCCGATGTCACAGAGCCTTGTGATCCAGCCACAATCGAATACTTGACTAATACATTTTAAAAAATATCTTTGAATCTGAATTCCAAATACATTCTTAAATCCATGAACACAGGAAATTGGCTTTCATGATATTATCGTTGATTGAAATTAGCTACAACTAGGCGCCAGAGAAATGTTTTAAATTATACAGTAAAATTAACATAAATTCGGATTTTTGTCCAGGAGAACTTTCGTTGTGACTGTTTATCGTCAGCGTGACATCAACATCGTTAAGCTAAATTCCGCCCCCCACAAATTTTGACTGTTTATTTTGCTTACAACGCGATTATCGTCGTAATCAAATGAGTCGACCCAATTCACAAATTTCCATCCGCCAATGACGGAGAGTTAAGACTGAAAATCGTGTTTCATTTTTCTTCAAGTCAGTTCTGATTTGAATATTTCACGTCGACTGTTATGCTTTTATTATTTCTTATGAATTAATACCGCAAACTTGCACTGAACTATATTATTATTAACGAAGCCAGTGTAACAATAAAATCTGCGATAGATACTAAATGATATTTAAGAGCTAGTTTATATGGGGCAAATGCAGGAAATGCTCGGTCACTATAGAAACTAAGGATGAAAAAGATTAATTACGACAAAATTTGATTTTAGATTTATTGCCGCAGTAACCCAGACTATCTCGACTATGTTGAAATATACGATAATAATTGTAAAATATTTTCATTCAAAAACTCCCACGACATGTTATAAATACTGTATATTCGGATATGAAATTCGACTCGGACATCGCTGAATGATATTTTGACCGATTTCAGATTGTTTTTGCTATGACGTCATAATGTCCGTTTCGGAAGTCGAAACAGCGCCGTTTCGACATATCAGTGTTTCGAAACGTATCGAAACAGTGTTTCGAAACGCCCAGCCCTAGCCTTGAGTGATAAATTTAGTGAACAAACTCCATATTCATGATCTCATTTAATTCACAATGTGTTAATAACATCAAGAGTCAGTGAAATACCAGAATAAGAGAGAAACATCCTAAACTTTCGAGATTTTATTTTAATGTTATCTGCTCACTGTTCCCTGTTTGAATAAGATTGTTTTGACGGAAACTGTAAGCCTATGATCTAAGGAAAGCTCGCTATTATACCTACTATTTCGCGGTAATAGATTATGTTATTCTTATTTTTCTCGTTTACTTAACGTAATACGCATTTCAAAAAATATGTATGTTTATAAAAGTATGGGTTAACTGCAATATTTAGTTGAGAATACTTTTTACCAATTATAAGAAATACTTCGATGTAATTTTTAATATCGATTTACACATATTGTTATAAATAATTTTTTTTTATCCGAGAGTGTTTCTTTCTTCTGGCATTGGGACGTGATCCTCACGTTTGGAAGAATGACACTCGGCACTATAATCGGAATCGTTTTCCACATCTCGACTCCAATATGAACGTATTAGATTTGTAAAAGACTAAAATTGTTTTCACAACCATTTGTAGGGTTTGAACTAAGACAAAACGACTGTAGATGTTGAAGCCGATATAAAAGCAACCGATGAAGTGAATGTTGCTTTGGATCCGACGAATTCATTCTTATACAGAATTACGTAACGTTATTCCGTACCATATGAACTATGCTTCCAGGAAAGATAAATGTTCAGGCGCAAATCTGGTTCAATTCAAATCAGTAACCCGAATCTCGAATTAACCTGATCAACCCGGTTCAAACAAGTCGAATCCGGTATAAATGAAGTCTTGATTTGAACTTCTAAATTAGTTGCTGCTGTACGATGTAAATTCGCGGATGGATGTTTATCAATATGTTCCAGTTCGTTACATGATACTTCAGCGTACACACAATACCACAAATAATACAATATACTTGAAAATTATTGGAAAATTTTATTAGCAAAATATTTCGCAAGAAAAGCATTACAACTCACAAGCAAAGTGTGACAAGATGGACGGCTTTTATCGGCTCCATTATTAACGCCTCGTCACACTGAATAAGACAAAAAATAAAAAATACTAACAGATTAAAATGAACTTAGTATTAAGCTGAAGAAGGTATAAATAAGTTATAAATATAGAAATAAAAAGAAGGCCACGGATTTAAAGGCAACATAGTAAAAGATTATATTGTGCATATGGCGCTGGGCCATTTATCAATTGAAACACAGCAGCACAAATTCAACACACCATAAATTCGTATACAAATGCAGTTCGATTTTCGATTGTGCATCTTATATACTATTCTGAGTGTCTTTTCTCAAGTTCATTGACTAGCGTATCCTCCATACATTGAAGTTGAAAGGTGATGTTGTGTAGTAGTCGATACAGTAGTAAAACTAGCACTTAGATTGTCATTGTATTGTGTACTCGCTGTTGCCATATTGTCATAAGTATAAGTCGGAGATGCTGTGGACAACGCATCGTATTGGATATCATCGAAAAAGTTTGCGGAAGGGGACGCAATTGACTTTTCATTTGAAGAAATCCACTGCAAAGGCGATGTTGCCGATGTAGGAGAGCTTGACGACGACAGAAGAGTAGATGCCGAAGGAAGTATCGATTCGTGCTGGGGTGATGACATCCATTCTGAAGATGTGTTATCTGCTGATTGGTTTTCTAAATTGAAACAAATATAAAATTTAGTACGTAGGTAGAAGACGGGATACACCATACCATATTTGTACATGGAATCAATTTTTGGAAAGATTTGTCGCGTTTCTTTTAGTTTACGACCCAAATATTGAACAATTATGATTGGCATACATAAAGAATATATATTTGATTACATTTCTGGTTTCATTTGATGGCAGATGCTGAACACAGGCAAATAGCAAATAATATACGGCGGATATAATGAATGATAGACTGTTAAACAAAGATGTAATGTACAATGCCATTTAGGAATATTAAATTCGTTTGTGATGGATTTTTCCCTAACGGAAGCGAGAATGCAAATTGATATCTAAAAATGGTCGACCATCTGTCCGCGCTTAGAAAATATACCCCATGTTTTAAATCGGGATAACTTCAATATTGAAAGGAATATACTACATATTTTTATAAGCACTATATTTTTTAGTATTGTCGCTTCCACTATCCTAACGTTTCATTTTTATCATGAAATATAGCAAAGGAAATAGGCCAAATATAGTTGGAATCCCCCATGCATACAAAACAATTTGATTAATCATTTTTAAAAAGCACCACTCCGATACCAAGGCTTACTATCGATTTTAGGTAAATAAAATAAAAATGGTAATATTTTAATCAACATTATCAAATCGAAATGCATAATATATTTTTTTGTGATTTTACCCAATCTTCAATTTTTTATTATTTTTTTAATTTTTTTTTGTACCTATAAACAAAAACGTGCATATTTATAATATTATTGAGTTATGTTTTTGAACCAAATGTCGCTTATCAGTTTTAAATCCATGCTTTAACATGCATTTTTTTGAACTGTATATTCAATGATAAGCAATGCCTTTACTAGAAAAGGTAAATGACCTCAATAAACAAACATACAAACCTGTTATAAATTGACCCGTCGGATCGCAACCTTCAATATATTCGCTTTGGTGAGGGGAAAGTCCACCTTGTGCTACGCCATTCAGCATCTGTTGGTTGCCAGACTGGTCGATCATAAATGTGGTCGGTTGACACATCTGAAAAGTGAAAGAAATCTAGAAATCCGTATAAAGGATTTTGGTTTTTAATCTACACCAAAACTCATTTGAACTGAGTGAAGAAATTGCATATTTCCGACAATGCTGTCACCATTCCATTTAGAAACTAGAGAGCGAAATTAATCATTTTTTTTGCTTAGTATGTTCCAAGGATGAAGATGACAACAATTAAACGTACTCATAGATGATTTTGTGTAAATAAACATAAATTTAATTGTGACGAAGAAGAAAACTGATTTTATAAAAAAAAATCAAAAAATTTATTGGCGGACGTTGTGAAACAAAGCCGGATTTTTTTTTATTCATTTGATTTCGAAATTACTCCAAACTTACCCCGGCAATCTGGTTTTCCAATGAAGAAATCTTGTTAGGCGTTTGTTGATATTCTAAAAACAAAAAACAACAAATAATTAGTAAATCAATTTCGCTTATATATATATGTATTCATGGAAATACCCAAAGTAATCACAAAAATCATGTTAGCATAAGCAGGGGTTTTTGAGGCATTGACGTCAAGGGTTCGGGATGATATACTGGATTTTGAATAACCTGATACGCAAAAAGAAAATAGGATGGAATCATTTTTAAAATTTATTTCATTACGCACAGCTGAGTTACAATGCGTGTATTTGCCCCTTCTTTTGATTAAAAATGTGGCAACCGTGATTTTGAGTTTCCGGTTCATAGTAATTACTAATTAACCGGTTTCTTAGGAATGAAGCTATAAACCAGAACATAACCGCTTTGTATAATCTAGAATACTTAATAGTTGTGCGTTGTTGGTATTGTGGATACCGAGTAATAAAGCTTTACATTTAAATCTGGTGGAACGTTAAACCAAATTCAATATTAGACTTCGGATACCTTGGACCATGGGGGTTTGCAAATATACATTTTATGTTTGTCAAATATTGTTCTATGGTCGTACGAAGAATCAGGCGAAAAGAATACAAAACAGATTTACTTTGCAGCCTCGAAGGAATGTGGACTTGCCTCCTTATACATTATAATGTATTAGTGATTGAAATCTAACGAACTTTATTATATAATGCACATTTCAAACGTCTTTTTGACGAATTGACGCAGTTATTTCTTGGTTACATGTAACGATACTTTCTAAATATTTATTTTACACCATCAAATCTCCCGGAAATAATTTACTTTAATGATCCGTGTATAAACGGTAACAATTTGCTCTAATATCCCTTCCCCGATTCGTATTTTGCAAATTAAATGCGTGATTTGATATTGTATGTCCGTTATGCAAACAGCAATAACATCGAAATTATGCTTTCAAAAATGAATGCATTTGAAGTCGTACCTTTGAAACTCAAATTGATTTCAGACATCATTGTGGTCGGTAAATTAGAGACGGCTTGATGAGAGGTTCTTAGTATATCAGTCGGTCTGTCTTCAGAAACTCGAACCGCCCCTGACGCCAATATTGCGTCCACAGGGTTGATGAGTCGTTCTTCTCTAAACATATTGGGTGTAGGGTATGACGGACAATTGGAAAACTGATTTGGGGCTTGGTAACTTTCAATTACTGCGGAGGCCGATGCCACAGCTTGGGCTATCGTGTCTGACCCACGATTTGGTGATGACATACTGTGAATCCCAACGGCTTGGACAGAGGAAAACGAAGTTGGTGAGGAGACCATTGGGGTGTGAGAAGAAGTTGATATCACTCCTGGTGACATCGGTCCCATATTTGTGCTTTGGTAATAAGAAATTTCATTTTGCCCAGAAATTTCATTTTTTGGATTGGAATGCTGATATACTTGTAATGGACTAGAACACACAGGTAATGTTTGCATTCCACGCATGTTCTGACAACCTGAAAAGTGTGTCTGTTGTGATATTTCAGGTACGGATTGAGAGTGCTGCATTTGAGACATGACTGAGATATCATATGAAGGTTGGAAATCGTGGCTCACTTCAATTTGTGGTGGTAATAACCCACGTGTAGTGATATCTGGGTTGCTCTGCGTCGTCCAACGCCTGGGTGAAACAGAAAAATGGTCAGGGCTTCTGAATGCAATAGTGTCTCCGTTTTCTGATTCGGGGTATAGAAAATTATTATTGTAGTTGCATGTCTGATATTCGCCAGGCAGGTAGGGAGATTCATTCCAAGTCGAAAACGGCATTGAATTTGGTTGCATATGCACTGGGAGGTGATATTGTTCAAAACATTCCCCTTTTTGCTGTTGTTGTTTAATATTCGATTTTCTTTCTTTGTGATTTCGTATCCTGATATGTCCTTTGAAAGTAAAAGCAAGTAGAATTCTTAGTATGATGACTGATAATTACAACAGTTAAAAGAAGGTGTTAGTGCAAATGTGCTTGTACATTACACTTATGTTGCACAATGCCCATTAAAATATATACTTACTTCGTTTATTATTGGTCACATAAGATGTAGGTTCCATCTTAAAAACTCGACATGCGTCATCTCCTCTTTTTTTCGCCAAGTTTCGTTCTTCGTGAACATCTGGTAATGAATGTAAAGCACAGCGGAAGGTTGCTTTCAGTTGCTTCGGATGTGTGTTTTTATTGCAGGCACCTGAAATAAACAATCCATTCACGTATTATTAACACAGAATTATCTTGTTTTTATATTATCTCGTTTTACACCCTAACAAAAGCTGCTGTATATCTTTTGTAGATTATTTGTTAAAGCGAAAGAGCTTGTTTTGCGTCAAACGCTGGGGATAATCAGTATTTTGTTTGTATCTTAAGAGCTGAAAAACACCTTTGATAAACTTCGTTTAACATTTTTGTTTCACATATGACGTTTTTAGAAATCAATGCTGTTTACATACTTCTCAAACAATAATATTAATCGGCGGGGCGTCAAAACTGGTATTTTATCACATCTGTTTATTCGTAAATATTCAATTTTGAACAACTAACAATTGGGCAAATGTATGCTTGGCCCGGTTTCTGGCGGTGATATTAAAGGTCGCTGAATTTTTTCAAAAATTAAAGATAAGAATTCAAAGACGAATAAGTTCACTGCAAATTACCATATGGAAACGCTGACAAAACGTTGTAGTCTACTATGACAAAACATTTTACATTAAGGCTCGATAATGTAGATTGATGTTTCTGTCTAACTCAGAGCATGGTAACTTGTGTCCCGGTAGACTATGTTTCGACCAATACTCTATTAGCTTTGTAGCCAATTGGCTAGTGTCTATGCCTTGCGAATTTTGAATAAACATTCCTTATTTAAAAACAGATAAACTTAAGAAATTGAGCCTTTTAAGTCATCATCAACTACCTGTATGTTCTGCCCAGTCACGGAAAAGAGCTCCATCGCAGTTTTGGTCCCACCCATGCAGTGCTGCATGTTTCCATGGTATACGAAATATTTTTTTCTCCTCATCTAACCAAACTAATCCGGGGTATCTTGGATTTCCAATACGACTTTTAAGCCAATCCTTCATTCTGAAAAATGAAAGGAGATTCAGTTTGATGTAGGACAGAATTCAATTTAAATCTAAAGCAAGACATAATTTATATTGAGTAACATTTGAAATAGTTCAATTTTTAGTTTCTTGTTGAAATGGTTTATAGAGACTTAAATTTCGCTTTCATTCAAAAAATTTAGCATTACAAATTTCAAATTACATTTTTTTCAAATGTATCGGTATAGTTTTGTGTGAAAAAATATTCTCATTTATGATTTCGATGTAATTTTACGCATTGTTGAGATCATTGCATGTAGTTGAACGTTTCATGTTGCAACATAAGATATTTTGAACGTTTTCGGACCAATGAACGGAATAAGAGACAGATCGTATGTAAGTTTTCAAACAATATGGCGTCGAGTGCTTCAAACGATGGTAACAAATTTTTAGACAACATTTATTTAAATTATGTGTGTAAAATATTGGTAAGTATGAAATTTAAAACTAAAATATTTACTTTAATGATTTCAAGTGAATTTTGATGAATAACCATTCTCGTAATTTTCACAAGACGGTTTTTACACGAAAAATATTTTGTGGTGAAAGAACCTAAACAAAATGAACGACATATCTATCAGAAAGAACCATATTTGAACCTAAGCCGGGATTAAGTCATTTGGTCAACACTTAAACTAGTGTGTATGCTAGTGGTAAGAACTGTATATATGTGCATCTCCTGGAGAAACTAGTTAGATTTTTACAACGAAAACACAGCATAAATCATAAAAAAATTATATCCAAAGTAAATACCTCAGACGCCTTCCCTCTGGGACAACTTCTTCAACGTAAGGATGATTCGTTCGTCCAATCGTCATCTTGTTGAATTTTTCTTCGACAGGATCCAGGACAAATTATTTCATATGATCAAGTATTTTCAAGCTCAATAACTATACTTCACTTAGAAATTTGTTAATTTGCTTAACTGTAGATTAAGAAATATTAGAATATCATTTAGATTGTTATTGTAAAGGTATGTGTATTTTTATCTGATATACTCCTTTCAACAAAACTTTTGAGGTATAGTTATTATACCTTTTGTAAGACTAACTGTCTAACTGATGTAAAATTTGATACACATTATATACCCTGGATATCATTGCTATTGGGTGATATTATTACAACAATTCTCATTTCTTGCTATTTTAATAAAGTAGTTCATACTGAATACGAGTTCTTACTACCCAACTGGGTCCGTTACTTTTTGACAAAAATTAGACCGAGAGAGCTTTAAATATACGATGGTTTTGAGAAAAAAATCGAGCTATGGATAAAAATGCATTAAAGATTGTTGGATAAAAAGGGAGATGTAAAAATAGTTTTCGTCTCTATTTTTACGCTGTTGATTATATTTCATTCTCTTTTTAGTGAAAACTTTGCTATATTTAGTAATATATAGCCTACGGTGCTAGCGCTTTCTCCTTCAATCCAAAACGAGAGAGTTGACTGATTTGGATTTGGAACGCCGACCTTATTATGCATGGAATTCTCTCGTAATATATTCGAACAGAGACTGGTTATGAAAACTACAATAAATTATGGTTTACACGTTCACGCAAAAATATCTCTTATGGATAACGAATTGAGTTAGCCGTTTTGAAATAAGGCCGCAACTATCAGAGAATACGGGTCACGATCCAGACAGAGATTGCCACTAAAAACTACAGTTTTTTGCTTTCAACAATCAGTCAGAATGCATTAATTACCAAACCTGAATTACCAATATGCGCTGGTGATAGAAGAATTCTACGCCTCAAAAAACCCATGATATGATTACATCATGCGTATTGGAAAATTCCATAGACTGTGTTTCAATTCCAATTCGCATTTCATTACTTTTCTTTCAACAAATTTTATTGAGAAAATATTACGGTGCAAAAAGTATAAAAATTGAGAAGTTATTCCGGGGGTGTATCCCCGTCCCCCCAAAATTACTTTATCCCCGGATATGTCCTAACTGAGGTGCATTTCTTCCGTGCTGATGTAACCCCAGGAAAATACTCGGCTATCGTATTACCCATCTCCCCCGTCGTTCCCTAGAATTTCACGTATGAGTGATTTTTTATAAAGACGCAACAAATTCCTTTTTGCGTCAGTCACGTGCTTCTTCTTGTCACTTAACGCTGTATGCATGAAAAAGACAAAGGGGCATGACATGCATTTAGAGGCTGTTCGAAGAACACCGGACTTGCTAAATGAACCGATTTCCAAAATAGTCTACAAATTTTAATCCGAATATACTGGGACAATAAAAGTCACTGACATGTATGACCACTAAACATACGGATTTGAAAAAAGGCGTTTGTACAGTATACACTTCAGTTTTCACGGCAAATAAATAAGTGGTACACGATTGCGTACTCGACCACTTTTGAAATGCTGCATTCTGAGAACTCGCTTAGCTTTGCGGTAACTGTAACGTCCTTTTCTTATTTTTGGCCAGCATTTCTTGCGCTTTCATTGTAAACAGAAAATAAAAAATGAATTAGCCTTTAATTTTGAGTTTGGCATCCGGTCCGGTAGTTTTTACCTCTGTCTAGCAGGCACAATTCATTGCCAGAATTCACCAGTTGGAATAACTCGACCGACGATATATTGTATATATTGTTACCGGTACATTTTCTTCTATTTTATGTTATGCAAGTTACCCATGGGTTTAAATTACACTCTCGTCAGGCTTCAGTAAGTTCATATTCAGGATTGTGCTTGATTATATCGTATAGGATGTATTTGAGTTGCATGGAATTGCTTTTACATTTGTTTCCAGGTTTTATATACTTCCTGTGCGCGTTACCAATATTTAATTTGACAAGAATTTGATGGTATAGACCTGTTACTATTAATTATCACAGGCATTTTAAATATGCGTATCTGGGTATACGAAAAATAAATCACATTTATGGGCGGTCCCATTTGTGACCTAAACCGTACTTGCATAGTGTTAAAATAAGTATGTTTGTGTACAATACTCATCCAAGAATGTAACTTGTTATTGTTTTTCTCAGTGGTCAGTTCTGACGCCGGTAAAAATATAATGCTACATGAAAAGCAAATCAAAAACAAGTTTTTTATAAAGATACGTAATCAAACGAATTCCATTGATTTTTATCATTCCTGAACGTCATTTTTCTGTGTACGGACAACGATGCAATAGAGATTATGTATTTCAGAGTTACAAAAATACTTAACAGTTTCTTTAATTGTTCGCGATAGCAAACAAAAACGACACTAAAGATAACTTAAGCATTGTGAAACGGCATAATTTCTGTTAATAGATCTGCCAATCGCGGTTACGTAGTCTATTTTGAATGAGAAAAATTCCCCGTATCGATGGAGAGGAGAAAGACTACGCAGCGTGTTCAGGCGAGAGAATCGCCTCGGGCGATTCGGATGACTAACTCTCAATGACGTCAGAAGATGCTTTCCTGAAGTTGTCCTCAGATGAGGCGAACTAAATTGACATTATTTAGAAAAACATACTACAAATTTGCCAAAAGCTTAATGCAGAAATTCCTCAAATACTTTAGTTATGCTGTGGATAACAGTTAAATAATGGATGACAAATGGGAGGACTTGTACTTGCTTGAGTCAGTATAATAAAATACATGTAAATTCTACAGTTTTTTTCTCGAGGTGCTCGCGAGGAAGCGCGATCACTAATTATGAGTTCACGGTATTTTTAGAAAATAATGAAACACAAAATTATTTTAATCATTGAAAATACGTTCAAATCGGCGTTACGGTGATGTAAGCCGTACGTCACGCCGAATGCCATAAATCGCTAGTGTTTACGTTACATAGCTTAACTTACTACGTTGGAAAAAACAAATGCCTGCGTAAGTATCGCAAGAAAACATGTTGTGTTTCAAAAAAGAGAAATGATCTATTCAAAATAGGACAAATATTATCACTTTCAACACGGAATGTAGATTAACACAGATTAATACTGAATGTAGATATTACGGTATAATGTATCGAAAGTTCTTTTTAGTCTCTCAGCTAACGATATTTATGCAGAATTTTGCGGAAAAAAGTCGTTATATTTATTTATGTTCAATTTTATTTTAGTCAATATAATTTCAAAATTTTTCCAATTAGATGAATTATTTTTTGAAAATTGAGTTGAAAACAACACCAAAATGACGAATTATGGAATTTGTCGATACCCATATATATGTGTTGTTATAATATTAGAATATTTTAAAACTAACCCATATGCTACTAAAAATTAAAGTGTAGACAAAGAAAGTAGATGTCCGTTTTTGTGACAAAACTCATATTTCATTTATTACATCAACATCATAAAAAATTCAAGGAAGTAAATTTTTAACTTCTAGTCTGGTTTCCTATCGATATTGCGTGAAATCGAAATAAACATTTTTCAGAAGTGAAATGAAAATCTTATTTGCATTTATTTTCATAAATACTGTTGCCTCTTTATGTGATAGAGGCGAGGGTTACTAGTGAATGTGCCTAACTGAAAATAAAAGTACATGCAGAAAAAAAATATGAATGCAAATTATAACGTATAGAATTTTTATTCTATTTTGCTAACAAATGAGGGTATAGCATCACAGAGAAAGCAAAACACTATTTTATTTCCACACACACCATATTAGACAATAACAAACAAAACGATTCTTAACTTTTCCCGACCCGTTTTTGATGCGAAAAAACTCAGTTGCACGTTGTCGTCTTATGTATACAGAAACGTTTAAGAATAGATTTAAAAACGAAACATACGAAACGATTTTTGAAAATATAGTATTTAATTAAGACCACAATAGCAATAATTTGCAGCGTTACATATTATTGACAGTTAGGGAGAGTATGAGTGTGGTCCTCAATCGCCATTCACAAGGCTATTAATTACACTACCCTTACGACGATATATTTTGATAAACACGAAAATTATATAATTTTTTTCTAGCGACTCAGTCATATACTCGCTTTACAAATAAAACGGGCCTGGTTTATTAGCTATATGACTACTATTTTATGACACACTGAGGATGTTCTCATACATGGTACTAACATATGCTTTAAACCAGCGGTTCCCAACCTTTCTACCCCGGCGGACCGGTAAAATTAGATAAAATGTACTCGCGGACCGGCAAAAATTTGAAATGGCCGGAACAGAAAAGAATAACATATATTTTCCCAATATAATGCAATGTCGGGCTCTTAATATGCTTCTAGACGAAAAAGCACATTTAAAAACATTTCACACGTAAAAAAACTATCAAATAATGTGCCGACCAAAAATAAAAATGGGTGAAGTATAAAATAATGCCATATATTTGCGTAATGAAATACAGTGCTGGGCACCCATTATGCGTAAGAAAGGCACGCATAAAATATCTCACATTAAAAACACGCACAATTAACTCCTGTGAGAAGTTTGCTGCTGTTTCGTTTTCAATATAAGATTGCAAACGAGGCATCAAAGAAGCTTTTGCAACACGTAGCTCTACAGCCGCGTGCAGCCGATTTCTTTGCTTCATTTTTATTGAATCTAGTGATGAAAATGTTTTTTTCGCATAACGCATTAACTGGCTGAAAAGACGAACAACAGTTTGATTGCTCGATTACTTGGCGATGGGTATTCGTTATCATCTAAAATTGTGATAAGTAATTCTTTTTTAATCTGGAATTTAAAGTAGAATCGCCATTTTAATCAAGCCTTTTCTTTTTCATTGGGTTCATCAAATTAATCCCTCCGCAGTTGATCGACGCCTCAAACGAAATGAATTTGCATTACAATGACAAAATTGTCGATAACTTGGCAACAGGCTCAAAACTACTGTGTCTGAAAAAGACCTCTGCGACCCATGCTTTTTTGCGCGTCTCGTGACCACCTGTGGGGTCGCAAGATGTTCATATCTTACTGAAATATTATACTGTTCTTGACTGTTTTCAGGTTTAAACAAG